CTACTAATCCACACCCCCGGTGGTCTCCTACGGGGCAAAATATTTGATTTATTCCCTTCGATTTAGAAAATTCTGCTAGTTTCGCATTTTTGAATCCCGAATATTGATCTGTCCTTAAATTGTTTGGTATGGTATGTTGGGCTATGTAGTTTTTTAAGAATTTGAGTAATTTTTTGCTCCCCGACTTCCTGGTGATCATGGCAGAAGGGTATTTCGAAAATCGATCAATAGAGACTATTATGAATAGTTTCTTTCCCTTAGAATCGAACATTGGGCCAGAAAGGTCTATTTGTACTTCCTCGTTCACCTCTGATATTTCTGGTAAGGGTTCCGCCGAATTGAATGTTTTAGACGTTTTAAGATTCTTACCATATGCTGAACATGATCTGCAGGTTTGGCATATATCAATGATCTCCCTATGCATTTTCGGCCACCACAGATATTGTGCGGCGTCCACCATTGCCTCCTGTCCTGGGTGTGTTCGGGCCATTACTGCTTTCCTCAGACAAGTTGGTATTGCCACTCTAATGTCAATAATGATGCAGTCGTTGATTACTGAGGCGTCGTCCCAAAAGTTTGCCATGTAGCTGCCCAATCTCAGGAATCCTTCTCTATCCTTCGCTAGGATGTGTTTCCTTAGTTGGCCTAACTGGCTGTCTTCCGTCGTGAGTTCCCCCAATAGATCCGCATCGAGTATGTTATGGAGGCCTGTGGTGAATGATTTCTTGTTTTTGTTCACTGGAGCTTCTTGTTCTTTCTTCTTTCCAACTTTATCTGCTATCATGTTGACCCTCACTGTCCTTTTCATTCTGTTCGTTCTGAAGTTTGCCAGCATTCGAGCGTAGTTCATCTTGTTCTTGTTTACGATATTGATCCTTTTCCTTTTCCTGCTCTCGGTTATCATCTCCACTGTCTGTCTTGTTTCTGCTCTATTTCTTTCCTCAATCGGGTTTTCAATCTGTTTTATGGATGGCAGGATGAATTTATTCATTTTCCTCTGAAAATTTTGTTTTGTTGTTTTGATTATGAGTTTATTTGAGCTGGTGATGTTTAAGTTATAGGTCGGGGACAATGAATTTTGTATATTTTTGGCTGAATATAACTCCATTGCTTCTGATTGGTTGGATTTTGATACGACGCTCTCTCGTGGTGAACTGGTTAGATATGGAAAAGTTTTGAATAAATTAAAATTTGACGAATCTGATTGGTTACAATTTTCACCGCATGGCTTTCCGCCCTCTCGTGGTAAGTTGTGCATTTGCATTTCTTGTTTTGATTGGTTGTTGTTTTTGCCGCATAAATTTCCGATCTGTACTTGAGGGATGTGAATTTGCATACATTGATCTGATTGGATAGTGTCAGTTCTGCATGACGATGCGCCCTCTTGCGGATGTGTGAACATTTGCATATCTGATCCTGATTGGTTGATACTTGTTCCTTCCGTATCGGATGTTTTGTTACTTTTTGCGGTTCTGCATCGAGGATCTGATTGGATAAATTCTTTGGGTGTTTTCCTCCGTTCTCCCTCTCAATTAGTGTAAATCTCTTTGAAATTATCCTGTTTTCCTCTAGGTGGGCCTTGACTAATTGGATTTTTTCAATTTCTTTTGTCGGCGCTGGAGTGTTAATCACCCTCCATGCTTCATCAAATTTTTCGATGGCTTTGACTACAAAGTGTTTGTCGTGTTTTGATATAGGTGGTGCCTCAAATTTAGGACTTCTTGATAAGTAATCTGCCATTCCTATTTTAGCTCCTGCGATGTGAGAAATTCTATATTCGAATGGTAGCATTCTGTCTGCCCATCTTGTCAGCCTGGCTTGATATGTTTTGTTGCCCCGATTTTCTGTTAA